TAGGTTTTACGGATTGTGAATGGCAGCTGCAGGGACTTCCATAGGGTTTATATAGGGTTTGAGGCTAGCTGGCGTCTACCAGCTATCCTAAACCCTAAAACCCTAAACCCTAAACCCTAAACCCTAAACCTATAAGATACTTAGCATTTAAGGTTTGGCGGTTATAAGAGGGTTAGGAGTCCAAGCCGGCTTCCAGTGTGCTACCTGAACGAGTTAAGTGGTTTAGGGTTCATAGGGTTTAGGNNNNAGGGTTTAGGGTTTAGGGTAGGTGAAGACTTTCTTATGCAGGTTTGGAACTTCCTACCGCTCTTCGTGGACAACGGCGACTTCATTTTTCAAGACCTCACGGGTAAGGCCTACCGACTGGACTTGCGTACCGGAGCCGTGCAACTTGGGCTGCTCTGGCAAAAGGTTCTTCAGGTATTCTGACATCTGATATTTTGGCTTTAGGTTCTCAGTTTCGACAGCGGTTAGAGGGCTTAGGGGAGCATTCAGTATTCTATACACCAAAACCTTACCATAACATTTAAGGCCGGATCTTGGACTTGACAGCCATTCCCAACACAGCTTCCACACACGTCCGCATAAACGGGGCAAGACGTCCAGACAGAGTGTGTCGTAAATAGAACCCGATCGAGAACCCCGCAGTTCGGAACAACTGCTATTATCATATTTGCTTGTTTGCTCGTTTACTTTAATCAGTTCGAATATGTCATCGATCTATGTTATTTACTCTGTTATTTGTACACTTATATGTGTTGTGTATTTGTAACAACACACCACGTTCAACACTTACATTTTCCATGCGGGATGTGCGAGGCGCTGGAAGAATGGTGGAAAGGATGGGACCTGGACAGATGGCAGCGCAGCCGTCGGTAATGGGATGGTCTTCACTGTGCACAACAACAATTTACCAGGTGTGAGGGCCACCCTAAACCCTAAACCCCTAAACCCTAAACCCCTAAACCCCTAAACTAAAAGCCGTAAGCCCAGGTTTCAACAAACATCCGGACAAAAATGGGTACCTTCTTGGCGGGCCCTTCTAAGAAGGATCCTCCGCTCA